ATGAGATTTGTGGAGTTCGAATAACAGTAACAGATGATATCCTCGACAATTCCGAGCAAGTCAAACCTTCCTCTCGGAGCGACATAAAATTTCTCATCGCGAAACCGGTTGTGATTGGCGTGTAATCGCAAATCTGTCTTCGGATGGATATAATTGAATACTTCGTTTACGTTCGTTGCAGACTTTTGACGAGGACGTTTTTAAGTGCGGAAAGCAAAGCTGGAACGATGAAAATTGTCGTTCATCGCGCGAGCAAGAGCGTTGAAAGCGAAATGTTTTTGAGGTTAGGAAATCTGCTTTACCGACGGTGCGCGATCGGCGACACGTGATGGAACGGCGCGCGAAATTTGAACTCCAATGTACTTAGTTGTAAGAACAATTCGTAGTTGTATTTTAATTTTTAATGCGGTAAAGTAGTTAAATGTTTGTGAGTATTTTATGAACGATAAAGCGACGAGTCTCTGTTTTCAGTATCTGTGAAAACCGGAAGTGAGAGTTTTACTGAATAAATTCACTTTCCACGTTTCGAATGAATGTATAAATACATAAAATGTGCGAGTTTCAAAAAGATCGGTGAAGCCTACGTGGAAAAATTTACCATTTTTATTTGTCGAATTTTATGTAGGAACTCAGTTCAGCTAGCAAAAGCTTATAAAAGACGGCTTAAAAACGTCTAAAAGAATTCTAAAGACTTCAAATGTCTTTTAGAAGCTTTTGCTAGCTGGGGAGTAACGAATACTTTCGTCCAAGACCAAATTGAACTGAACGTTTAACCGGTTGTCGTTAATTAAATTTACAGAGTTCAGAGGTCAAAGGCGACGATGACAGTAAGAAGTATAGAGAGTTCGTCGACACCGTCACCCCGGGGCAAAAAATAATTAAAGGTCTAAAGCGAGATTGGAAAACGCTGAAACGTGTACTGTCACCTAACAGAGAATTCTCCGACCTCGAAGCGCTGTGGAAACCCGAGATAATTCCTAGTCATTGTGACGTGCTCATCATTGGCGGTGGAGCGATTGGTAGCTCGATAGCGTATTGGCTGAAGCAGAAGATCTATAGAGACGAATTCAATGTTGTTGTAATTGAGAAAGATCCTACGGTAAGACATTGATACATGTGCTTTCTAGTTTTGAAGGTTTCTTTTTTTAGATCAATAATCTATGCGTTTGATCCATTAAACGTATAATATAATTAAATATTATTTCAGTATACCAAAGCTTCCACAACTCTTTCGGTAGGTGGTCTGCGTCAACAGTTCTCTCTTGAAGAAAATATCCTCATGTCACTGTACGGCGCGGAATTCCTGCGAAATATCAACGAGCATTTGAGCGTCCCTGGCGAGCCGCCCATCGATGTGAATTATCATCCTTACGGCTATTTGCTATTGGCGACCGAGGAGGGTGCTGAGACTTTAGTACAGAACTCAAAGTTACAGAATTCTTTAGGAGCGAAGAATGTCATTCTTACTGCAGAGAAGCTGAAGCGCATGTTTCCTTGGATAAATACCGATGGGATCGCGGCGGGTTGTCTTGGGCTGGAAAAGGAAGGATGGTTTGATCCGTGGTCCCTGTTGTGTGCCTTCAAGAAGAAAGCTAGTCATTTGGGTGTTCAATACATCAATGCCGAAGCCAAGGCTTTTAAATATAAGACGCTGCCAGGAGTTTATGATCGCGACATGATTCCTGCCAAAAAATTAAATAGCGTAGTCGTAAGTATACATACATATTGTATATACCTATATGTACATGTATACATATACACCTGTGTATATATATATGTATATATACAGGAGATGTCCCATTTTTATTGTCTACTTCGAGTATCTTGTAAATGCCACAGTTTCGTGGAAAATGTTTCAGACAAAATTTGTTTGATCCTGAAGGAGCAGTGAAAAACTTATTTGTCTGTGAAAACACTTGCACGAAATACTCCTTTTACAAGATATTTGAGGTAGGCAATTAAAATATGAGATATCCTGTATACTGACATATAATATTCGTAATTGTAGAATGATAGACATATGTGTTTTTTATTAGATAGAAACAGAGGATGGTGAGATTAGGACAATAGAGTTCGCCAGAGCTATTATTGCTGCAGGCGCGTTTAGCGGCAATGTAGCCGAGTTAGCTGATATCGGAACAGGCGAAGGATTATTATCTGTACC